CTGATTAGAACCTGATTGGAACCTCATCAGAACCTGATTAAAACATGATTAGAACCTGATTGGAACCTCATCAGAACCTGATTAGAACCTGATAATTTGGACTTTTCCAGCTTTCATAGCGAGAGCTGGAAGCTGGAGGGGAACTGGATCCTGGATCATCAGAACTTCCTGAACTGGGCCAAAATGACCAGATGAAAATGAGGTTTAGATGGTTGTTTGGATTTCTGGTGGGACTCATCTGATGAATCAGTGGATGGATGGGAGGAAGCTGTCCCCTACCAGCCTCTACTGGAGCGGTTCCGGTTCTTTTAGAAAAGAAGAACTTTAGAACAAACAGGCCGATCCTGATGGTTTGTTATGGTTTGATTGGACGGATCCTGGTTCTGATGTCTGTCTGAACGGTGGACTAACCGGACCTATCAGTAGAACAGAAGCATACAGGCCAGAGGGTAACCCGGTACCGTTAGACCCGCAGGTCCAGAAAAAAACAGCCTCTAACAGCATCTGCTTCGGCTGATTCCTGCTGACGGCGCCGACTGGAAGAGGCGGAGGATGGCCGTGATGCACCCGCCATGACACCCGCCATGTTTTCACAGGATCACAGACACTCTGCCGGAGAGAGGAGGAATCTGGACCGTCTGGTTCTGTCTGCGCTCTGACAGCAGACTGATGCCCAGCGAAGGTTAACCTCCTGACCCCACAGAGGAGCAGCATGGCGCAGCCAGAACCCATCAGAACCAGCTGCTGTGGTTCTGAAATATTCCTCAGGCCCAACATCTGCTTTAATGTGTCAGGACAATCATCTACAGTCCTGATCCAATGCTCAGCAGCTGCAGCCAGGTGTCGGTTATACACTATACCATTTTTTGGCCTTTTCTGGACGCCCGACTTCAGCAGGTCAGCATCAGATGGAAGGATGAGTGACGGCCGGAGAGCTGGAGCTACCTTCCTCTGGAGAACCTTGGTACCAGCTGCTGGACGGGGCAGGTTAACCTCCTGACACTTTGCTCAGGTTTCACTGATCTCTGCAGAACCAAACCCATCGAAACCCGTCTCTGCATCACTCTGGATCTTCCACCCTCACCGCTATTAGAACAGGCTGACCACACCAGGAACCCAGAAGAACCTGCAGGTTCTGAACCCAAAGTTCAGCTGAACCCGTTTCCAGTGAAGTCATCTAACGGTGCGACGCGTTTCACTTCCTCCTTCATCAGGATGAGACTCAATGGAAGCTCTGGAGCTGCAAAGATCAGCAGATATGTGCAGAACCTGGAGCTCAGCTGAGACAGTTCAGAACCTGAACACGGTGGTGGCAGCATCATGCTGTTGGACAATGGATGGAGTTCAGTCAACCCTGTTAGAGGCCAGAAGAGCTGGACTGGAGGAACACCTCACCAAGCTACCATGCAGTGGTTAGTTCCTAGTCCAAGTCCACAGCAGAGTCCGGTCGCTGGTGAAACGAGACCTCAGATGTTTCCAGATGTTCTGGTAAAGATGTTAACAATCATCTGCTGGCTAGCAGTTAGCATGGTGGGCGGAGACGCTTGGTGAGGTCATGACCTTTATGGAGACAAGTTCTAACATTCCTCTGAGAGCAACCAGAACCACAACCAGAACCAGAACCACAACCAGAACCAGAACCACAACCAGAACCAGAACCACAACCAGAACCACAACCAGAACTAGAACCAGAACCACAACCAGAACCACAACCACAACCAGA